GAATATCAACAAAAATTCCTTAAAATACCTCTTCAGGTAAATCCTTATAAAACAAACCTAAAAAATATTCATTAGATAGAATGATAATTTGTTGTAGTTTTAGTATTTTCTAAATAGTGAGCATAACAGTTTAGACATTCTAATAGATTGCAATTAAGGGATAACTGTAATATTATGCTTTATCTATATATAGTTATTATTATATTATGCAAAGTTATTATCAATATAAGGGTTTTATGAAGACAATAATTTTTTTTATGATAGCTAACGGCATGTATGTTAATTTTGAATGGTAATTTGTTTATAAAAATAATAACTTAATCTATCATTACCATAGTTTGATATATTCTTTGAAAGCATCTGTATCTTACGGGATATTAGAGTTATGAAAGTGAATAAAGAGAAACCTCTTATCTTAAAACAAATTGACATAAATTTAAATAATATGAGATCGAAACTTTCGATAAATATTTGTAGACAATGTTATTAAGACTAAATTCTTTATTAACTGATTATTCCATTATAAAGGAAACAATCCTCACTTTCTAATGAATTAATACTTGGATTAAGATTGATTACTGCTTCTAACTTTTTGTAAAGAAACCTACTCATTAGTAGAGTTATTAGCGATGATTCAGATTTAATACAAAACTTTTTACTAAAAATACAAAATACTTTCTTAGTAAGTACTTTTTGATTTGAGAATTATTGCAATCAAGTTTTTAATTCAGTTTTGAATTAAAAACTGTTACATTAAATGGCACCTCTAAATTTAGCAATAATCTGAGAAATGTGTAGAAAGTTTATAGCAAACTTCAATGAACATTGAACAGAAAGTTTATCTGAAAAGCTAAAGCACAATAGTTCTTGAAAAGAGTCAAGAGAAGAACTTGCTGAAGTTGCGATTAATATTCTCAATATATTATAAGTGAGAATCAGAAAAAAAAAGTTTACTATATGTATCACTTTTATAATTATTCATCAATAATATGAACAATATTTGGAATAACTTAGCGTTTGAACCAGATTTTGAAGATTCACTTAATGAAGGCACTTATGTGACAAATGTGATAATACTATCAATCTGATCTGCTTTGAAAAATCTTCTTTTTGGGAAGAATACATTCATTAGTACATCAGAATGACAAAGTCTCACCAGTATAGATAGAAAAGGTAATAGTCAAATGAAAAGACGACCAGACATGATGTTTGAATTTAAATACAATGGAAAAGTTTATGAACTCATATTTATCAAATACTCACGATTATCCTGTACTAAACAAAAAAAGTTAGATAATATGATAAAATTATGGCAAGAGAATAATGATGGACTATACTAAACTTAAAAAGGGTGTAAACTGGAGAAGAAGCAATTTGGAATCATTGAAATCCAGATTGTCAGTAAAATAATTTTCTTATATTTTTCATGAATCATATTTCATGAGATTTTTTTTTAATAATACAAAATTTTATAAAGCAAAAGTTACATTTAAATGTTATTACAAGAGGCAAAGATATAATACATTATTACTACCATTTACATTTAGTTGAGATTCTAGTACGTCTGGTAGGAGATTATAACTTAGCAAATTTTGTGAAGACTTTGCTAATTTTACAGGTTTATTATTTACACTGGCTATAAATATTTCTTTGGCTAAAAAGATATTATTTAACGTGATTCTGATTTTTAAAATATTATTATTGTCAATATATCTTTACTATACCATGCGTCTTCATCAACATCATACAGATAAATAGAAGATAGCTTAACGATTTCATCCTCATAAAGGAAATTTTATGTATTTTTTAACTATTCTTGTGCTGAAATTCGATTTTATTTATTATGTATTTTAACAATTTAGTATAAAAATTTCATGCATTCAGGTTACATTCCAATATTTATTTATTTTTTATCTTTATATTAATAAAGTTTCTCCAGATCATGCGATCTTGCAAATTCTACAATAAATTATAGGTTTGTCTAAAATCATATAATTTATTATTTTAAATATTTACATACTAATACTATATTATACAAGCATGCAATTTGAAATAAATAATTTCAGATTAGCTAATCCATTGAAAATATGCATTATTAGGCTTAAGATTAAGAATGATAAAATTATGGCTGAAAATTTTGAACTTAAAGCCAGAGTTGTGAAATTGAAAGATAAGCAAATACAAAATGAATTAATAAAAAATTTGCTATCCATATCATATGATAATATTAGTGATCATTAATCACGTAATCAGTGCCTAATCAATTTCCTATCAGATGTGATATAACTCGTAATATAGATGTGTAAACTATAGTTTATAGATGAATTTTGCATATAAACTTTTTTTACGCAAAACTATATCTATTATAATGTTCCATTTTGACTATAAACATATTATTAATAGATTACCAGAAAGTCTTGTCAAGAGAGCTTGCCAAAGACTCTTGCAACATTCTAAAGATCCTGTTCTATTAAAATTTATTTTCAGAAAGTCTAAACGAATTGAATCTTATTTAAGACACATATTAAAGATTTATGAGAATTCATTAAATAGGAAATGCAAAAACTATGACTCAGGAAAAAATATTACGCCCTCAAAGCTGGCTAGAATGTAATGTATTTCCAGTATTACTGGCTGTTGCAGATAATAGAACTCAAATTAATAATACTACTTGTAATCACGAGGAAAAAAATAATCACTAGATTATGAATGAATTTAAAGTATTTCACCAGCATCTGCTTAATTATAATAAAAGAACTTTGAAAAAATTCATGTAAGACATAGAAAAAAAATATAGAGAGAGGGTTAATGCAAATAAGAAGTTGCAGTGTGAAATTTATAATCTGAAGATGCAGGTATAGGAGGCAGAAAAAGAGCTAGCATCTATGAAGTTAAATTTTCACTAAGAAGTAGCATATTCCAGCCAACATGTATTCTGTGTGAATGCTCTTAAGGTACAGTTAGATCAAAAACAATAAATTTTTACTCACATAAATACTTATCAATAATTTTAATTATACTATACCAATCATTAGCATATTGACGCACAATTTTAACTAGCTCATCTATAATACATAATTTATTAAATAGGTAGATATATGTGAGATTTTTTCGTATTATCTTTAGGCAGTCAAAGTAACTTTAGGATATATATATTGAACTGATGTTATAATGTCATCCTTTAACAAAATAAATGATGATTTTCTCTATATTTTTCAGGTCAGTATATATATCTTCAAATATTGGTACTATATCTTTATCTGAAGAAAAAGAATTCACCTTAGAAATTTTATCAGGCTTTAAACTCAGAATGTAATATTTTCATGATAGAGCTTTAGACTATTTGCAATTATCTAATATGCTGATTTAAGGTACATATATTTCAGCTTCTTAAAATTATGGCTGATTAAAAGCAAATCATCACACTTAATATAGCGTATTCCTTTTTTTTTACCATTGAATATTCGATAAAGCTTATTTTTTAGCATGAGATTAAGAATCTCATTAGTTTTTCCTAAATTAGTATAGCCACAAATTAGCAAAATAAAAAGCCATTAAGGACACTCAAATGTCTATTATATTTTTTGGCATTCTTAATCTCATTAATATAATATATAAACTTATTAACTGGCTCGAGCTTTTTTATTTTCATGTTAAATGAAGTATTATTAATGACATATTAAAAATAATCCCTTTTAATTTTTCACCTCTTTTAAGAATCTTTTCTCAATTAGAGTATGTCTGATATAGAACAAGAGATTAACTATATAAAGAACTTTAATAAGGCATATTTCTTGATTCTTGCAGATATTCTGCTTCTTCTGATTACATATCTTTTGTATTTCTAAAGTTTCATTCTCTCGATGATATAGTCTATTGTAATAATAGTATTGAGGACCCTGATATTTAAATGCAAGACGCAATTCCTCATTATATCTATTGAGATGCATTTTATCTAAAAAATTTAACCTATGTGGTGGGAATTTTTTGCCTAGCAGATTCTCAAAAATGTAATGTATATTTTTTTTGGTAGTGTGGTGGCATAGAGGATATCATTTGAATTTTTTATGATATATTTAATGGATACTCCCATTGATACGTACTATTTTTACAAAACCAAAGATAAACTATATAACCATTTACTCACCTACATCAAGAAAATTTTTCAGGGGATATATACTGATGAAAAGATCATGTGACATAAATCGATAATAATCATAGATGTCGATTTGTATCGATATAGATAAATAGTGATTAATTATTAACATCTAATCTAAAAGATAAATATTGATAATAATCTTAATAATAAATATCAAAAAATACTTATATGATTAATATCAATAGTAATTTCAATGGTATAATATTAATAACAATTTAGTGGTAATTTATTGATATCAATTTAAATGATAAATATTGAAACTTAATTTAATCGCAAATATTCATATTTATTTATTAATGTTAGATAATACAATTAATCGTTAGAAAAAAAATTTTATCTAACAATTAAAAGAGACTAAAAATAGCTAGAAACTAAAGATAATTTAAACTTATATTCTTAGCAAGGTAATGAATACTTGAATATTAAGATAATCAAGCTCTAAAGACAATTTGAAAATCAGAGATAAGTCTAACAAATATCCATTTTAATCTAAAAATTTAGTAAAGTAATTAATATTAATCATAATTTAACGAATTAATTAATTACTAATAAAAATTGTAAGAAATTAACAAAAAATCAAAATAATTACCATAGAATAATTCATTATAATTTGGTTCATCTTTGCCCTTCTCTTCCTCTTCTTTTTGTTCTTTTTTGATACTTTTTTCTTAGTACCCTTCGCCATAAATTCTGGCGATTCTTCTTGTAATGTTTTTAAAGAATCAACAAGTTCAATGGATCCATTTGTCATAAGAGATTTTTAAATATTAGTTTACTATTAAAATTGATAAATTGCAATTTGATAAATTAAATCTTTTAATTAACAAGATACTTTGAATCCTTAAAATCGTCGTTCTAGAGGTTTTTTCACACACTCAAGATCTGGATATTCTGGGTTCAAGACTATATCACAAACAGTCGCTGTATATGTGTATATATCATTGAATGATTCATTATCTTCAGAAATACTAGGAAATGCATATTTAGAAATATTTTCTATCGAATTGTCATTATTATCATATAATCTGTTATAGAATTCCCTAACTTTATTCAATTTCTTTCATTTCATAATACTGTTTGCATTTCTTTTGCTAATTATTACTTGCAATTTGAATTCTTTAAAAATTGAGTTTTGGACTGCAGCAGCATATATTCCTCTTACGTCCTTTATTTTCTTTAAGAGTTATAATGAAAATAAAAATAAAATATTTAAATAATTTTAAAGTAATCAAATTTTGATAAATAACGATAATTACCATGCTATAGTGCTTGTTGCAAAATTGGTTAATCCATTTTCACTCGCCTACTTTGCTTATATAAGATGGATGATTGGCTTTAAGCCAATTTTCAAGATCAGTTTTAAATTCTTTGAGAGTAGGCCACATTGTTTCTGGAAAGTCTATTACATACCGTATTATATCCCTCCTAATAATAATGTAAAATATTGAAAGTTATTTAAATGTAATATGATGTTTGAAAATAAATACACTTACACTAAATACTTTCAGACTTAGGTTATTATCTTTATCTTTATTTTGCTTCTTGAACTGTCCTTGAATCAAAAGGAGCTTTTTGTTCATTCCCTTTAATATTTCATATAATGCACAGATTTGTTTTTCTTGTTTTATTAACACTTCCTCTAATTGTCTTTCCTATTTTTCTTAATAATGTTTAGTACTATTACTAGTAGTACCTGATGTTATTTGTCTGTTGATGTTGAATGTTCGTACTTCAGGTACAATGAAAGTAGTCAGTCTTGAGTAGTAATTATCATCGTCATCATTTAGGACGATTGAAGTTGTTAGTCTTGAGTAATGTGAATGCTATTGATCAAGGTTTAGAATAATTGAAGAATGAGAAGAATCATGTTGCTTATCATCAATCAGTACGATTGGAGTCATTGATCTTAAAGAATCACGTTGTTTGTCATCAATCTGTATGATGGAGTCATTGGTCTTGAACACAAACGTTGACTGAGTTGTTAATTAGGATTTGATGGTGATTCTTTATGAGTAGACAGCATAGTAATATCACTTTAATCATCATTGTCTGTTTAAATTATAGTATATTGCGATAATTAATTTGTTGATAGTTATCATCATAAAAATGTATTAAATAAATCACTGACACTTTCTTGTTTAGCGGTATTCATTTTTTTACCATATTCAGCAATAGTTTTGGCAACACTTTTCTCTAGTTGCTGCATTTTCTCTAAGATAATGAAATATTTATCAACGTAGACATAGCATAGTAGATTATTATTAAAAATGACAATATTGTATTGTATATTTTACTATGTGACAATAATGAACGATATATTACCTTTCAGAGACATGACATTTGATTTAATTTTTTTGTTATATTTTTTTGTGTTAGTTTTTTTCAAAACTTTATAATCTTTTTCTTCATTACTATCTGCAAGTTTTCAGTACCGAAGAGCTGAGTTTTTTCATTAACATTTTTAAATCTAGTATTGTATTTTCATTTTGGTAGCATCTGTTCCTCAAAAAAATAATAATAATAATAAAAATAAAAAAAAATAAAATTAATAATGCTTTGAAAAAAGAAAAAGAAGAAAGTGTGGGAAAAAGAAGCTTGAGAAATATCTTCAGCTGTCCTTATTTATATACGTTTTATATGATTACTAAAAGTATATTAAATTATATTATTGTAAAAGTATAATTTTGCACTTAAATTTATTATACTGAAAGTTTGAAATATACATCAGTAAAGGTATTTTAATCAATTTCAATCAAACATTAATTGTTACTTACAATATTATTACATCACTGATTTTTCCTTAAAATTGATTTGATTTTTTAATATATCACGATCATTAATAATCGTTAAAACTAAATATATATATATATAGCTAGCAAACAACAAATTCTTTTAAAATAATTTTTATCATCACTAAATTTCAATTAAATACAATCATTTAATTTTCAATTTATTGCTAAATAAATTGAAATGACTTACAAGTGTCAATGTTGTAAATGTATCTTTGCGTCTCCTTATGCATTGAAATGGCATATTTCTGCCAAACACTAATATATTATTAATGAAAATGAAGATGAAATGGAAATCCAATCGATCATACCAAATGAAGAACCTAACCTTTGGGATGAAGATTTTATAATGGATTATTTTGAGGTAATAAGCTAATCGATTATTATCATATAAAGATTAATTTGATAATAAGACAGAATTAATTTAATATTCATTAAATAATAAATAGAATGAAGGAACTGAATCAATAATATTAGAAGAAAAAATCGAATTGATAACAAACCAAACTGCAGAATCTCCTGAAGCTTTAAATTTTGATGAGATTAATGTTGATCATAAAACAGATGATGAAATTGATGTTAATTTAATATTTCTGTTACTTATCAACCTTAAAGATTATTGTGGAATCACGTTAGATGATGCTATAAATGACAAATCGCATCCATCAAGCATTGAATGGCCAAATGACATTTATCGTGAATTTATAGAAATTATCATAGAATATCAGTTATCAAATTCTTGTGGTGATAGATTAGTTAAGCTATTTAATTCAATCAAAAATGTTGATAAAAACTTATTGCCAAAAACTGCCAAAGAAGAATGAAAATTCCTTGATAATAATGAGTTTCCTTATATAAAATTTAAAGAAGTTTCCATTACCAATTTTCAAGGTGTTGATTATAAACTTCATTATCAATTGATAATTAATGAAATTAAGATTCTGCTTTTATGATCTGATATTAATAAAGAATTTATCTTTAAATATCGTCAAAATTATAATGCCTCAGCTACTAAGACTTATGGTGAACAATTTGAAAGTAATTGGTGGTATACTGCAGAAAAAACCATTTCTATCGACAATAATTTACTATTGATTATTATCTATGCTGATGTAATCATATGTAATCATCTTGATAAAATATCAGAACATCCAATTTATATTTTGCTAGGTAACATTTCAAGTTGGTTGCAAAATAAACCCCAGGCTAAAGTACTTATCAGTTATTTGCCAAAGTTAAAAGTAAAGGATAGTATGATGAGAAATTCTAAATATTTTCAAAAATTGCAAAGATTAATTTTCTAACGATGTCTTTAAATATTATTGAAACTGATATTAAATCAAGCTGATATGCATTTTGTTGTAAATAATGAAATATATTCATTTACATTAAAGATATTGATCATCCTTACTGACATAACAGAGGTCAAAACATTTACCTTGACATATCTTCTATCAACTTCTAAACGTCTTTGCAGTTTTTGTTTAATAAATAATAAAGACCTCAACAATATGACATTATCTAATGTTATTTTATAAATACCAAAAAAGATGCAAAAGGTTATTAACACAAATCAAGCATATGAATTTTTAATACATGCCAAATTCAATTTTTTTTGGAAGTTTAATGATTTTAATATTTATGAAGCAACTATTCCTGATCAAATGCATTTGCTTGACCTTGAGATTACAAAATACCTCTTAAAATTTACTCGCAGCTATTTACACTCAAAAGTTAATGTTAAAGCAGTTAAGGAAATAGATCATAGACTTTGTGCTATTCCACGATATCTGAGGTTAACAATTTTAAAAAATGGATTAGAGAATGTATTGAAATTCATTGCTGACGATTATTGAAATATAATGAAAGTATTAATTTTCGTTATAGATAATTTATATGATAATTATAAAGAAGGAGGAATATCATGTAAAAAATTATGTAGTATTTTTTATAATTATTTAAAGATATATATGAAACTACATCAGAAAACATTTACAGAAACAGATTTGATAGAATTAAAGGTAAATATAATCAATTTGAATTTTTAATAAAAATCTTTGGATATGATCAATGATATTTATTTCATTATACTTTTTCATTAGATTTTAATAAATGATTTTTGTCAAGAATTTGTAACTGTATTTTCTGAGTACTCTCCAAGTAATTGCAAAATACCAAAACTTCATGTACTTCGTTATCATATAATCCCATTCATTCGATTATACAGTTCAATAAATGGCATGTTGATTGAAACTTATGAAACTTTACATAAAGATAATGTTAAAAATCCATATTGAATGACAAACAAAAAAAATTATGTTCCTTAAATGCTAAATACAGTACGTATAATATTATCTATTTTTATCACAATCAATATTAATTTTAATTTTTTAATATAATTAGGTTCGATGTCGATTTTTGGCATCTAAACAAAAATCCATTTAAAACACAAAGATCTAGTGGGTTTAGAAAACTTTTGTAGAATTTTAGCGTTAATGAAATTAATAATGAAAGGTCAAAAATAAACGATAATAACAATATTAATCATCTGTACAAAAAAGGTTTTGATAATTTACGTAAAGGTTTTAAAGAGTTTTTAGCAGAAAATAAAGTATCTTATGATACTGAGTCTGAATATTTTAATATATATTTAAGCATAGCAGTTAAATCGACCGATATCATTCAAATAGATGGAAAATTTCATGGTAAAGAATGGTTTAGTAACGTTGCTATTTCTTTAGAAGATTCAGAAAGGTATTTTGAATCTTTATAAATTATTTAAATTCTTTTTCACTATATAACGTTATTTAATTTTATATTTTAGGCTCTTTTATTACTGGAGTTTTTTTCGGAAAAAAATAAAAACCAATAAATCTTATTTTATTAAGATGGTATAAAGAAGTAATAGATGGAGAGGAAATGTATGAGTGTCTAAGATTGTATCTAAGTGAATATTATACGTGTATTTACTTAGACTCAGTAGATATGTCTGTGCATATAATACTGAGACATGACTGTAACAACAAATATTTTGTAAATAAATATATTTTTTAAAACATATAATAAAATAATAAATAACATTTAAATAACTTGCGATAAATATCAATTTTGATAATTATTAGTGTTGATAATTAACGATAATAATCTATTTCATTAATTAACTTTGTGACTATTTTTGATACAGTTATATAATATTAATTATTGCAGATATTTATCGATAATTATCTTAACTCGTTAATTATCAAAATTTTTCAGGTGATAAATATTGATAAAGTAAAGTTTATCGATTTTTATCACCTGAAAAATTTTCTTGATGCAGTTCTTTCTAGGCATTAGCCATCACATTTTTCAGTATATTGATAGACTTCAGTTAAATTATCATTAGCAATTTGAATATAATGAACAAATCCAGTAAGATGATATTTTTGCATAAATCTATCAGGTGAATACTCAATTTTACCAGGTTTCTCAATTACTTGAAGTTCTTCATATTTAAAGGGTTTTTTTAGATTTCGTTCTATCAGATAGGTAGTTGATTTAATGGATTACATATAAACCTAGCTCTACTATGATCCAGCTCTACTCTAACTTGCAATATAACACAAAACTAGTAACAATATTCAAATTCTTCTTTCTGTTGCTTCTCTATTTTCCCAATAAACATGTATTATTTACCTTATTTACTGAGTATTTGAAGGAATTCTGCGTAGCAATCTGTTATCACTTCAGGGTTGTCCTGATGGTATGTAGTGTAGAAGTCATTATATTCTTCATATTTTGCTCTTGCTTCCTTGCCAGTTGCTTTTGGATAGTCTTTACTATATTTAATACCAAAGTCTACTGGGTCTAGCAAGTAGTCCATAACTAGTTTCATATTATATTTTTTATATTAACCCTGTTATAGTTTATATTTATCACATTCTGGTATAATAAAGTGAAAATTAAAATTAACAAGTCCATAAGTTATGAATGAACACCATTATTACTTTTCAAAATGTCATCAGTCACACTGGTCAATTTTACAGCCACATCATAATCAGCCTCTCATTTATAAAATGTTCACTTTTGTCTGGTTTTGTTGCAGTATGCCCCATTTAATTACTGTAATCTAGTATACTAAATATATAATAAGAATATAAAACAAGATCGTCTACACCATATGCCTATTTTAATAGATATTAACAAATTCATTAGTAATAATAAACATCTCCGTGCGATTATATTTAACTTGGGGATAACCTTGGCATCGGTTTTTTAAACCAGTATTTGTGCAGTGCTAATTTAGCCACACTAGCCACAACCAAATCATGTGCACAAATTACGCTTCCCCCAGAAATTATTTGTTAGATTATAAGCTTTTTAAAATAATTTTATGTCATTTGTAACTATACTCCTTGGCGAATTCAGCCATCCTATAAATATAAAATTTCTTAATCGTGATGAGAGGGGCTTGCGATTTTTCAAATTTTGTGGCTAGAATTTACCAAAGAGAACTTTCTTCATTTTCAATTTTTTATATTGTTTTAATATTATTACATCATTAACAACTTTTAATTTTGTGTAGTTTCGTGTTCAAGATCTTGTGTCTTACACAATTTAGTTTAGATTTCTCCTTTTTAGTGTTTGATGATTATTTGATTACCGAATGCGAGGTTGTTTCATCTCCAATTTAGGAATAAATAATATATAAAAAGAACATGAAGACGTTCCTTTTTTATGTCAAATATCATTTGTTACGCGTAATAAGTGTTAATTGAAACCTCCTAATAATGTTTCGGCCATATATAACTGCTCCCATACTGGGTACGGTACAAAGTTCCGAAAACTTTTTTTTTTTGATCACCACAATTTGATATTTTCCTTGTTTGCTCAAGGAAGTAAAAAGCTTATCGCTGTAATAGTTCGTCAATAGTCCACAAACAAAAAAAAATCTCATTTTATCTATATATATTCTCTTTTTTCTTTTCTTTTTTTTTTTATCTCTCGTATTGGATAGATAATTTATATTTGGCAGGTCCAATTTATCCAAAGTAAAGTCTCTTTATCTAAAGAAGATATTAAGTAGAGAATTGCGGGACAATTCAAATTATCTACTACCTTTTTCTTTTTTTACTAAGAGTAATTTATTTACGAAATACAGCGGTTCGTCTTCCATGACAGTCTTAACAGCATTTCACAAATCAAATAAATAACTAAATAAAATGTTGGGACGCGTGGTGATTACTATTATCGGAGCCGGATTTGCGGTACATATTGAAGTTGTTTTTAAAAAGTAGTGGTTTTTTTTAATATTAATGAAATTTACCAACATTTTACAGGTTTATTGTATCGTTACCGCATTCTTGACATATTTTGAAAAAAATCGTAAATACTACTCTCATTTATTTCAAATTTATACTTACATTATTTCTAAATTATTTACAATTTTCATTTCTTTTTTCGATACCTTATAGCTGCAACTTTGCATTTGAAAAATTTTTATCTAGTTGGATATGCAGCTATAAATGCGGTTTTTACACCTTTTGGTATATCAGGGGTTGTCGGGGGATTAAGTGTATGTGGCATACAATATATATATATTTTTTTTCATTATTATTCTTTTATATTTATTATATTAATACTTATATTAATTTTTTTAATTAGCGTAAAAAATCATTAATAAAAGCATTCACCCGATTTCAGTGGTGGTTGGCTACTTTCATTCTTATTGGTTTAAGTGTATTTAATGTTATACTTTCCAGAAATGAAAATAATAAAAAAGACTTCATTGGCAGATGTCAAAGAAATTTCGCGAAAGGTCAACCTGAAACCAACTTTTTAGATCGATGCAAAATTATAGTTGAAGATGCTGAACAAGCTACATTAATTGCTGCATGTTCTGAGGGTGGTATCATGGTAAGTTGAATCGTATGTTATTACGCGTCTTTTTTAAATTTTTTTCGAACTAACGTTCATCTAATCACTCTATTAGCTCTTTCTTGGAGTGATACTATTAATAGTTGGCACGCGTGAATATAGTTCTATAAGCTTGGAAGAGGAAACCAAAAATCTTCTCGAAAAAGCCAATTTTAACGAGAACGAAGAGATTGATGTTATAGGAGGTGGACGTTCGTCTTCTACTTTACAACGCAATCTTAGCGATGCTAGTAATGGTGGCAATGTTGATGTTGTTAAGAACGTTAATTGTGGACCTAATAATAATAATAATGTTGGCACTTTCATCACGGATCAATACGATATAGGAAGATATCCTCCTAATAATGTAACAAAAGTTAGGCGTCAACCATCTAATATAACTCAAACTGCAGTCAATGTAGATTTAGCACGTCGTCCAACTAATGCAGATAATATGAGTGCTATACAACATTCAGGTTTGAGAAGACATCCAACAGAACCTAGTTCAATTCCTTCTTCTCATGTAGGAAAGAGGAATAAAGCGGAATCAAATTTTATGTCTCCATCTTATACCGGTTTAGCTAGAAATCAAACAAATCCTGGAAGTATCCCATCAAACAGATATAATGGTTTAACGCGTTATCCAACCAATGGTACTAATGTTTCTGCAAATATAATAAATGTAACGCGTCAACCAACTATTGGTAATGTATATGTTTCAGGAAATTATGCAGGAGTTCCGCAAACAACATATCCTATTGCTCCGAAACATTCCCTCTCAATGAAACGTTACGTGAGTCCGCCACCCCCATATGTAGTTCATCTTCAGCAGCAAAATATCGTTCCGATATCTGAAGATTATCATGATGACCCTTATTACTCCCACACAAATTCTACAGAACCACATTTAACAAGGTTGGGAATGCATTAATGGTATAATAAAAAAAAATATAAATTTATTAAATTTTAGAAATTGAATTAATTATCACATCCTCCTAAATATTTTTATAACCCTGTAAATATATTTTATCATTTAAATTGTAATGGTTATGATGAACTTTTATATATATATATACATTCTTTTAAACCTTTTTTCCCTTTAAAAACAAGAATCAATTATAACAAATTCAATGACAATAAAATAAATGACTTAATAATTCTATTTCGTAAATTAACATCCACCATTTTTAACAGAATTATTTTTCTTTGATTTTCTATAAAATCTTTGGTCTTCAGGATTAAAACCAGCTTCAGGAGAACCAAATAAAGCCCAGTCAGGAGTAGGTGCAACGTAATCTAAACTAGTGAAATGTTCTCCCGATTCAAGTAATTCAAAAAATTTATCATAATCAATCCAAGTATACCATTGATTATTAATTTTAAATTTTGTATTTGCTATAAGTATTGAACATGAGTGTGAATGTTCTGCTGCTACTTCATAAGTTTCTCCTAAATGTTGATTAAGTTGATCTACAAAGGAGATTACTTCATTATGATACGGAACCTGATTTTTTTTTTTTTTTTTAAAAAAAAAAGGAGTTAAGGTTGATTAAGGGTGATAAGTAAATTAGTAAAACAATTTGAACTTACATTAGCCATTGTCAATTTACTCGCTCCACCATATCCACAATAAGTAACCCCTTTAACTTCAATAAAATCAGGTTTACCACGTCCTACCAGTTCAACGTAATTAGCAATCTCTTCAGTATTATAATCTTTAACCAACGTTAATCGATAAACTAGAATTTTAAAATAAAGGATGGTGCATTATTATTTTTAATTACCAATTATGAGTGTTTATGATGTGACGCGTTAAATTCAATACCTGTTCGTTGTCCTTTTTGACTTAATATATCTAAGCATTCTAAAAATCTTTCCCAAAAATCTTTAAATAAAGGTCTATCGATCTTTTTTAAACTTTCTTTTGTACTAGCATCAACGCTAACATAAAGTTGTGTTACTTTATCTAACGCCCTCAAACGTGAAGGATGTTGCGCGTTGCAAACCAAAAATGACTAAAGAGATATGATATATATTAGATACATCTAAACAAAAAGAAATTGTGTAGAAAAAAAATATATATTACCGAAATATGTTTGTCATGTAAAAGTTTAACAAATTCATTGATATGTGGATACTAATAAAAAAATTTATAAATTTATTTTTTTTCACGTTTATTTTTTATGTAAAATGCAATGTTTGAATTGAAGACTTACTAATATGGGTTCCCCGACTAATGATAAAGCACAATGACGGACGTTAAATGCTTCTTGAAACCTATCTGCTTTAATGCCTGGTATACCTTTCATTTGTTTAATCATCTTATAATGATTATCGAGGCATTCAGAAAAAATCATCTCTGGTGGATCAACTTTCCATATAAACTCCTTGCCTTATAATTTAATTATTCGAATTGAAGAAATTTAATATTGATTTGCTCTTTTTTATTATAAAAAAAAAAATTTATTGGCTACTTACCAACGGGGTTGGTATGATGCCTCCAACTATAGATATAAAAGATATGAATTAATTAATGTAAATGGTATGTTACAAACAAAGTAGGTGAATTTAATATACCAGAAAACACATTTGTTTGAACAGGCCAGACTTGGTGTTGTTTCAAGGCACCTATGACTAAGTTAATTTGAAAAAAAAAAAAAAAAATTAATTAATAAGTACTTGTATCAATTATTTTTAGTAAAAAAATTTGATTTATAACCTTTGTATGCCATAAAAACAAAACTTATAGCAGGATCCTCTACCTCTTAAAGCTGTATAATTTCAAAAAAATTTTAATACAGTATATGTTGAATTTATTTAAATTTTATTATATCATTTAAACCGAAAGAAATTTAACCCAAATGAAATCCATCTGATTGAGCTGGACATCTTCATTTGCATATAATTCGACATCAAGCCAATAACTCCCAAAAAGCACCATAACAACATACC